TGGGCACCTTGTTCAGCAGATGCTATCTTGATGCTAGGCTACACTGGTCCAGTTGTGAAACTGAAGAGTTTTTTAATCTCCTTACACCAATCTGCCAGAGTCCAGTTATGTAAAGCATTTATGAGAAACTTGCCCATAGATATAACTTCATCAGCCTCCGTGGTCATCACCACTGCCTAATCCTGCCACCTCCCCCACACACTGGCTCCTGCACTCGCTCCTGCCTGTATCCATCTTTCTGGCTTCTCACCTCTCCTACTCCGTCTCCTCCTCTCTCTTCCCTCTCTCACTCTCTCTCTTCTTGTCTAGTAAAAAGCCCAGAATGTTCTTTAGCTTATGAAGAGAAACTTCCTTCTTCTAAAGTCTTCATATCAGAAAATAGATCCTGGCAGCGTGGGTTAGTTGAATTTAAAAGTGCGAGGTGGGAATTTTTACTTTCTACCTGAACCATTCATCTAAATAAAGATAGTCTTTCTCAAATGTCTCTACTTTTCTACTCCTATTTATTCTATTAAACTATGAATTCCTCTCTGCAGCTACAAACTCCTGTGCGGTGTGTCACTGATCTTTGATCTCCCTTCCCCCTGTCCCCCGTCTCCAGCACCGGGTGCAGTGCACACTAGAAATGAATCTGTCAACATTTTCTGAACTTAATGGAACAAAACTGATTCTTACCTTGATGATTATGATACTACTCCCAGCTAGAAAACTTTTCTTGTTCATTGCTCTGCCTTTTCAAATTCTAGCTGCCTGTCCTTCTAATCTAATCTCTGCTCTGAAGCTTTCCCTTACTACGTTGGCTACACGTCTACACTGCTCTCTCTCTCTTTTTTTTTGGTGAACTCCTAAGACACATTTTTGTTCTTTGCTTACTCTATAACATGTTGTATTTTTAATTCTTATATGTCTTAGGTATATCTTTTCTTCAATCTAGCAGAAAAGATGAGTAGGTGGGATAGAACTGCAAATTAAATACTTATGCAAGGAATTAAAGGAGTATATAAAAGTTAAGTGATGTAATTATAAATATTAAATGAATTTGAGATAAGATTTCCTCAGAGGGAAGTGTTCTTTACAATTTACCTCTTATGTTCTGTAGTAATGTGTGTTTTATATGAGTCATGTTATACTTTACTGGCAACTGTTTATGCCTTAGTTCTAGTGAATTTCCTAAAACTACAGAAATATGTGATACAACCAATAGTTTTCACAATAAACATAAAAAAATTCTATTTAAAATATTCATAAAAATAAATAATTGCACTTTCTCTACAAGTATTCAGAATTGGCCTACTAATTTTGTTAAAATAAAATCTTTACAGCAGTAATATCATATTCTAATGGTTTCTTTTCTTTTTCTTTTTAACCAAACATTAAACTCTCTTTCAATCATATAAGTTGAATTTTCCTACCATTAGAAAAGCCTAGGGTCTATTGCTTTTAAATCACTTAATTCTAATGAGGGAAAACCTTTCAGTAAAACTACTGCCTCCATTTCTACCAAGTTTGCTACTTTTCTATTGCTCTTTTGTCTAAAATATGTGAACATAAAGTGGATTAGATCAGAGTTTAGCTGGTTATGGACTTGTTAGGACATTTGTATTAGATATTTTTAAAAAGCTTGACTATATATGGCTTCTGGGGCTGTTTCCTTAAATTCACTCTCTCACCACATGCACTAGTTCCTTGCACTTCAACATGATGCTCCCAGAGCGGGACAGAGTTTGCATGAGACTCAGTGCTGAAATGCCACTTCTTTATCCTCTATTACTCTGGGCCTATTGCCGCCCTTGTAAGGCTCTGTGCTAGAGAGGCTCCAGGGATATATCATTATAAGCTATGGTTTCTGCTCTATAGAGCAGGAAAAGGTGAAATGCTGACCTGCAGTTCAGGTAAAATGTGCTGCAGGACTTGCAAGGAGGAATTCATCCCCTGGCTTTACTGAGGGCATTGGAATGGTCTTCAATGGTAAAGTGTAAATGAGCAGAGCAGGAGACAGATACAACCTGAGGAGGAAACAGAGGCTCACAGACATCCTGGAATAAGCGTGCTGTGGTTGGGGCCAAGCAACAGCCCTCAGGGCTGGGTAGAGCCAGAGCACAGAAGATATGGGAGAAAACACAGCCAAGGGCAGACCGTGGAGAGCCCTGAGAGAGAGCTCCTAGAGTCTGGACTTCATTCTCGGACAATGGGAGTCACTGACAATATTTTTGGTTGAAAAGTGACATATACAACATGGCATTTCAGCTTGGAAGCTTAGGAAGGTGAGCTGTGTAGGGCGTGTGGGACAAGGGGACATCTGGAGGCAGAAGGTTTCACTGGAAATTATTTTACAATAGTATAGAGGAGAGCCAGGACTGGAATGGTGGCAGAGAAATGAGCAGGGAAGGTATGGCTACAAGAGACGTAACAAACAATGAATCGATAGGCCTGGCTGGCTGACCAGGTGTTGGGGGAGAGAGAAAAGGAGTTAACAGACCTACTTTGGGGGCCCCATTTTCAACTCCTTGTATTAATTTGGTTTTTGAGGCCCAACCTCTCCCCCTTTTTCTCTGGGACTGCTTCACCCCCAGTCAGTTCACAGCTGGATGCAGGACAATCCAGTCCCTGCTATTCCTTCCCTGGAATCCAGAATTAGACCCGACAGCCAAGAGTAGTCTCCCTCTGAGGTGTTGGCTGTGGCCACCTTCTTCTACGTGAACTGGAAAGCTGAAAAAGCTGCTTTACAGTAAGAGAGAAAAAGAAAGCAGAAGTGAAAGAGAAAAAGATGAGAGATGGAGAATAAGAGCTAGGACTGGGTTCCCTGTTACACTTTAGTCTCTGCTTTCATGTGTCCCTAAAATGCTACTGCATCCCTCCTCTTTAATTCTGCAGGCCATCCTTATAATGCAGTAATACATTTCCTTCTTTGATTAAGCTGGCTTGGCAGGGTTATTGTTACTTGAAGCCAAAATGGTCCAAACTGATATATTCCTCAGCAGGGGCCCTCCATCTTCAGTCAACTGGTGCTCTGGCCACTCTGTACACACTTCAGTACTTTACTGACTCCACATTTTCATGCCATTTCCTTCATCTAGAATGCCTTTCCCTTCTAAATCCTGCTGACTCTGCCTGCATAAATCCTGACTATCCTTCCTTCCATCTCTCTTTATGAAGTACTTTTTGAGTGAGTCCATAATATCTGCAAATTTTAATGTCACATTTTCCCACTTCAAGTCCCTGATTTTAGTGAACCTATTGCAAGAATAATTAAAACTATATAAAGAGGGTAAAAGATGGTGGATGGTAGTAGGAAATCAGGAAATTTATGCTCTCACATATACAGTTTTTTTTCACATATATAAATTTAGACAAATTAAAAGATAGGGCTTCCCTGGTGGCGCAGTGGTTGGGAGTCCACCTGCCGATGCAGGGGACACGGGTTCGTGCCCCGGTCCGGGAAGATCCCACATGCCGCGGAGTGGCTGGGCCCGTGAACCATGGCCTCTGAGCCTGCGCATCCGGAGCCTGTACTCCGCAACGGGAGAGGCCACAGCAGTGAGGCTCGCGTACCGCAAAAAAAAAAAAAAAAAAAGATAATGGTCTACTTGGCTACTAGTACCTTTGACTTTAAGATGGGTTCAATGAGGTACCAGTAGGCCACTTGGCCAAAGCAGATATTTTACATATAATAGTATGTTAGTTAGGAGGAGTATTAGATGAAAAAAGATAAAATAGCCTTTAAAATGTAATGCACGACATTATTGCATAAGTGCTATAAATTCAATTTTATAAATATCCAGAGGCGGTCCTATAGCAAGTGAGAGACAGGTATGGAACCTTGCCAGTGCTTCCTTACTCAAAGTCCAGGGCTTTCTTCACTATGCTAAACTATCCCATGGGAAATAAAAAAAGAAATACATCAATTTTTAGATGAGACAAAGAATTCAATTTCATTTAATTTTTAAAAACAATAATGTATTTTAAATCATCATCTATTAAAATAATAATATACTCTAGGAACCCTCTTGAGCCTCTCACACCTCGGCTATGTTATATACCAAAAAAAACCCAAAACCAAAACAAAACCACCCAGATTGTTATTCTCTTTTAAAACACTAACACTAAAACACTTAATCTCTTATAAAGGCCTCTCTTTGCCTGTAGCAATGAGAAAACCAATCTGCTATCCTGTGAAATCTCACATAAATTCAGAACACAATGAAGTTTCCTTTCCCTTCAGCAATGGAGCCTTTGTTCTGGTCACTTACAATGCCTCTGGAGAGGAAAACACAAAATTGCCTTATGAAAGTCATAAGAAAATGTCTAGCAAATGGATGGGTATTTAATGAACAAGATAAAGTGCCAAGTAATAGTTAATGTCTCTTTCCGCTCGATTCAAAGGAACACCCCTAAGACCCCAAAGCATTCACACCAGAAGATTACACGAGTAGCACCGATAAGCACGATGCCATTGTACAAAGAATCTGTTGCTAAGCAGGGCAGAAATATTGTTTACATGAAAATGGAATGATCTCTGGTGAATACTGAAAGAAAGTGATAATTTCCATAAGCAGAAAAAGCATTTTTATATTATTCCATTTCAACTGCTCTAAAGCCCTGAGTTGCTTTGGCAATCGCTTATCCCTGCTTTGTTGGCTTATATCATCCTCATCTCTGCAGCTTTCCATTTACTAAATGGCAGGCGTTTTTTTGTTTTGCTTTGTTTTGTTTTTTTCCCTGAAGCTTTGGCAAAAATACCACAACCATTCTGTATGGTTTCCAGGGGCCACCTTTCAATGGTCATACAATGACTTTTTGGTGCCCTTTTCATAAAAGCCCAGTTGGTTTATCCTCTCAGTAAAATTGCTGAAAATATGATCAGAGAAGGCTCCATTTATAGCAACTGTAAACTATGCATTTCTCTAGCTTTATGGAGCCTTTCACTGTATAGTGTTTGTTTACTGAGAACAGAGCATGGAGTGGCTTCAGTGAGAGGAGGAAAATACAAAGCCACTTACCTGCATTACAATAAGGAGGTCAAAGACCAAGATGAAAGAAGCCAGGAAGGCTCTGGAAACTTCATCACTGGGCAAAAATCCCCGATTCAGCTTGTCCCAGCTGATCCAGTCAGTTGTAATGACAAGTACAACCACAGATGTCAGAGTGAAAAGAACTGTCCTGAAAGGAACAAGACACTCAGTAAAAAACATTAGACGTAATAATATAAACAGTGCAGAGTGCATGTGATCTGCTGTATTAAAAGTCTACCCCTTGCCAAGTACCTATCCTAAGGCATAGTCACCAAAGGAAGATGAAAAAAGAAGCAAATTAAGAGCTTTCTTTCAAAAGCAATTAGAAAAAGGTATGACAGCATCTCTTCCAAGATTTTCCCTAAAGGGCAATAAGGTAATGGTTATAGAACAAATAGTTAACAATAAAATATTACAAATAATCATGGTTAGTGCAATATATGTCCCCAAAAGAGCATTGGTTGTAACTCTCATTACACATACATTGTTTTACTGAGGGTGGTGAACAAACATATATAGGAACATAAGGCAGTGGGTAAGGAAGTCTTTGGATTCCATGGTTATTCTACAGAAGAGAGGGAAGATAGACTGGTCCCTTCATTATTCCCTAGCCTGATGAGCTCTGTAGAGGAACCACCTCTACGTGCCAACTGTGTAGCCTCTTCTCCTCATGGTACTCATATCATAGATATCTTGTGGCTTAGTGACCTGTCCAGGTCACACCATGTCTAATCCTCCATCCATCGTTATAAGATACTAGGGGCCTGAGATTTTTCTCTTACTTATTTTTGTAGTTCCTGTAAAATCTTACATAATTATATGCAGATGGAGTTCAAAGAATGTTTGTTGAAATTGTAACAATTATCAATTAAGCTTTTTATAGAAATCAAAAAATATTTAAATTAGTCTTTAATATTGACATTCAAAGTAAATCTGAAATCCGGGCAGTGAAAATTCAATCTGCCAGAGAATTGTCCATAATGTTGTAAAGCCTCTGCTTTCAGAGCTATATTTGTATATAGAGATTGTTTTGAATTATAAAAAGGAAAATAAAGAACAACAAATATTTTGAAAATAATTTTAATGTAAAGGAATAAATAAATAAGAGAAAAGAAAAATGGAATAATATGAATCATCCTGGAATTCTCTTAACAATTGAACAGAATACAAATTTCTAAACTGAAATTTTGGTTTTCCTTTTCACAACTTTTTATTTGGAACAAGTTATACTCTGATAAAATAAGTATAATGAACTCCTCTTTAGATTTTTCCCCCCATGAATAGAAAATATACATTTTTTTTAATTTTGGAAAATAAAATTTTTTTTTAAATTTACTTATTTTATTAAAATTGCAGACTCTCAAAAGAATTTGACTCATGATCTCCAAAACATAAATTAAAAATTATCTTTGCTATTGTCTAGAATATCTTTGAGCATTTCCAGAAATTCAAATGGATTAAATGAGCATGGGAGAAATCCAAAATAATTATTAAAATACAAATAGAAAGAAATTGCAAATATTATATAGTCAAACATAAGAATATTGGAATTTTAAACAAAATTTTCTCCAGGTTAAGTTGATTCACTTGTTTTTGTCTTTTTGAGTTTGAGAAACTTCAAGGAAATTTGAATGCAATTACCACAATTTCTTTTGTCAACAAGGAACATAACAACTTCCATGAAGAACAGATAAATATTGACTATTCTTTGAATCTCCTTTTGGTGATAAGGGTACTTCCTCATCACTCTTGGCTTTTCATATGTGTGTTTCACAAGGATGCTATGAATATATATAATTCTTCAGGATGTACTGTATGACCGTACAGGTTGGTAGATGGTTGGGATCCCAATTCTCTCAAGCTCCCCCTTCTTTTCCTCCCCAGCTTCCTTCACAAGGCCCCACACCTTCCTGTTATCCAGCACTACAGGGTGGAGTCTTGGTGAACCTTGGGTACTCCAGCACCTCACTCCAACTCTATGGCCAGCATCCATCCTATTGGTTCAAGCCTGTGGTTGACAGGTTAGTTTTTTTTGTTTTGTTTTGTTTTTTTGATTTTTTTGATGTGGACCATTTTTAAAGTCTTTATTAAATTTGTTACAATATTGCTTCTGTTTTTTTTTATATTTTGGTTTTTTGGCCCTGAGCCATGTGGGATCTTAGTTCCCAACCAGTAAAAAATGAACCCATGCCCCCTGTGTTGGAAGGCAAAGTCTTAACCACTGGAATGTCAGGGAAGTCCTAACAGGTTAGTATTTTTAATATCATCCCTGCATTTTCCCCAAGAGCTACGTGGAAACTTCTTTTTGTGAAGACAGATGATTACATTGGAATTCATACTCTAATGTTACTTTGTTGGTCTAAATATGTAAACTGATACTGTAAAATTAAATACTAATGCAGAGGAATATTTTTAGGTGACAAAATCTGAGATTTTGGAATAAGCGTTTGTTGAGCAATCACAAACCTCATCTATTACAAGATTTATAAAGGAGTTATTCTTTTTTAATTTATTTTATTGAAGAATAGTTGATTTACAATGTTGCATTAATTTCTGCTGTACAGCAAACTGATTTAGTTATACATATATATATACATTCTTTTTCATATCCTTTTCCATTATGGTTTATCACAGGGTATTGAATATAGTTCCTTGGGCTATTCAGTAGGACCTTGTTGTTTATCCATTCTATATATAACTGTTTGCATCTGTTAATCCCAAACTCCCAATTCATCCCTGCCTTACCCCCTCTCCCTTGGCAGCCACAAATCTGTTCAAAGGAGTTATTCTTATTCATGCTAACAATTTCATTGTGAATAAAGTCATTAAAATTAATCATTAAAACTCTTTGGTAATGAGAATTTATCATAAAGCCTGTTGTATAAGAGCTTCCTGAGATCAAATCTGCACCAATTCATGTCTTAGATGTTTGCTTTATTTGATACATTTCATTTATCCAATATATAATAATACTCTTCCTAAGACCTTTTCATAGGTGTTTTCCTGGCTTTATTAAGTACTTCTGTTTTGACAAAGAGTATTGCTACAGATCTTAAGAAAAAGTTACTGGTAATATTTTATTACTCTAAAGAGAAATTAAAGGAGGTATTCTGCCCTATATTTAATATTTAATACTAAAAAAAAGAATAAAAATGGCAATCATTAAATATGAATGCATATAGGTCAGAGAAAGCTGTAAAAATAAGTCAAGAGAACGGAAAAAAGAAAAGGAAAAGGGGGACCAAAATACATTAATTGGTCATTCCACCTCCAAAATTATATTCAATGCCTTATCTAGATATAGGTATGGAAGCAAATGTATTGCTTGTGGCTTGTTTTTCTGAGCCACATCTTGTAAAATTGATAGACTTTACCATGCTATGATAATTCAGTTAAAACACCAGTTTAAAAGAACCATGACTCAATTACAAATTACTGTTACAGTCATATGCCACTTGTAATGTGTCAGGGTCTGGTATAAGAGCTTTACACAAAATAGTATAATCCTTACTACAAGTCTACTGTCACTACCTCCAATTTACAAGTGCAGAAACTGAGTCACAGAAAGTTCAAATAACTGGACCTGAGTTAAAGACTTTATACGTTATATAAGATATAAGATGATTCAAACCTAGGCTGACTCATGACAGTATGTGTACGTATTGTCTCTCATAGGAAGCACTTGATTTTACACTCTTGTTACTAGGTCTGTAGCTAAGATTTCACTTATTTTCCATTTTTATTTTCCATTTTTATTATAAGTATAATGTTGGAAAATTATCATCCAGGAATACTTAATATTGAAAAGTAAAACTCACAGAGACTCTGACAAGGACTGACAGGAAACAGTTAACAGGGATATTTTCATGGCAGTGAAAATGGACCCTCAGGGATGCTAACCATCAATGCAGCACCCTTGGGTTTTTATTTAACCAGAACGGTTGAAAAGATGTTTACTCTGGATCACGATTCTTGGGAGTTTCAGCTTCTCTTTTTAAATAGCATCCAATTAAACAATTATCTGGATTATTTCCTTTCAATATGCAGCCAGCACCAGCAGGACATCCTGGCTCATCAATTCTACTGTCTCTGGTTTCTGGCCACCAGTCAAACGGAAAGAACTCATACATAATTATCAGCTCGAGTGGTTAGTCTCACTTCCCTGTTTTCAGATTTCCAGTTTGTTTGCTTTTCCTCAATTGTTGCTAATTCCTCTTGGATTAATAGGAATTAGAATGTGAGACCAAGAAAGGTTAACAGAGCTTTTTTAATTCACTGCTTCCCAATCTCTGGGCTGGGCTCCTGGGAAGCACAGGGTTGCTAAGAAGTGTGAATTTATATGTGTACTATGAGTTGTCTGTAAAGTGAAAAAATGAAATGTTTCCAGAGAGGTTAGGGGACTCACTCACGTCACACAGACTGCCAGGGACAGAACTACCATGAGAACTAACTCTGAGCAAGGACTTGCCCTGTAGTAAACCACTTTCTCTCTTTTGCTAAAAATCTTCAGATATGCTAATTTTTTTTTTTTTTTGCGGTATGTGAGCCTCTCACTGTTGGGGCCTCTCACTGTTGTGGCCTCTCCCGTTGCAGAGCACAGGCTCCGGACGCGCAGGCTCAGCGGCCATGGCTCACGGGCCCAGCCGCTCCACTGCATGTGGGATCTTCCCGGACCGGGGCACGAACCCGTGTCCCCTGCATCAGCAGGCGGACTCTCAACCACTGCGCCACCAGGGAAGCCCATGCTAAAAATTTTAATATCATCTGGATCTCATCTGGGAACATACTTTATAGCCTACCCAAATATCTATAGTGTATGTTGACTGGAAACAGAGTAGTACATATAAATGAATCAAGATAATCCCCCAATTTGGTTTAATTCATAGTCTAAACCACTCTTTCACACTAATTTCTGGATTTTAAAAAATACTGAACTTCTATTTTAAGTAATTAAACTAGTTAATATTGCTTTTCTTCTTCCAATCATAACCACTTTAAGATAGACTTATTGGGCTTCCCTGGTGGCGCAGTGGTTGGGAGTCCGCCTGCCGATGCAGGGGACGCGGGTTCGTGCCCCGGTCCGGGAGGATCCCACGTGCCGCGAAGCGGCTGGGCCCGTGAGCCGTGGCCGCTGGGCCTGCGCGTCCG